TATATAAACTGAGATTTAAGAATACTACAGTGAAATTTTAACATATTGCGTAGGTACAGTCGGGGTCAAAAGTTCGCTCCAGCCCAAAATGAGATGAACACTCGGAGTAAGTCCGTTCGGAGACGCATTCCCGTGACAGTTTCACAATGGAGAGCGAACTTTTGTCCTCGACTGTACAGCACTTACCCTCAGATATTATAGGAGAAAATCATCACTCGTCCTCTAAGTGATGTAGAGCTGTCATGGGTTGCGTTGGGCCTCCCGCACAACCCATCCCAAATGTTTGTTTACGGTAGAGATAAGGTAACCGGCCAGCCATGACTGGGACATGTAGGGGGGGGCAGGCCAGTGAGACAGTGGTGTACTGTTCATCACTTCACGCCTCAAAAAACCAATTTAGCCAGTGGGCTTTAGACCTTGGGCTAGAGAAGACCTCCTGCTCCGCGGACTTAAGATTAGGGGCCATACAGTCCTACCAGTGCTACGGGTCTGTGTGTGCAAATCCCCGAGATTTTTTTGTTAAGTCCAGCGACAAGTTAACACATCCTGTAAAGGAAGTGATCAATGGTGAGGGCCTGTTTGCTACAAGAGCACTCCAGGCCGGCCTAATAGATCTAAACGATTAATTCACCAGGTTGACAAACTCTCCCTTATAACTTACGGTACTGTGGCGTGAATGTGAGTGACTGACCTATCCATGCAAATTATAAGTCCAGTGTATGGAATTGTGCCAAATAAACGTAAGTGCAATCATCTGCCCGTATCTGTGATCCCTCTATTATCATTATTACCAAGGGTAATGACTCATTGGTTATGACAAAGTATAACCAATAACTTAGATGGATGTTGGAAGTTAGTGGAATTCACTAAATCATCATTTATCAAGTACATAACGCATTGAGTGCCGGAAGCAGAGCAAAATTCTACGTAGTGATACACCATAATCTCTTGGGTGAGTAACCAGTGTGAAGGTATCCGAGTTCTACGGTAAGAAAGCCACTTTCCTGCACTTAAAGCGTAACAAGAGCTTTACTATAACAAAGTTCACGTTTACAAACCATCAAGTTTATAGGTAAATCGCCAAATTGGTGACAATTCTCTTAAAAAAAAATGCTAGCCACGGAGGATGACAAAATGTCGCAAACAGGAATCGAATTCCGGTAGATTTAGCGACTTTTCCACTTAATTGGCATTCCTGCATACTTTCTGCTGCTGGTATTAGATCATCTTAGTCTATCCAAGACACTTTTGACACTTCAAATAATTGCGAGCTAATCATTAACTACGTACATGTTGCTTTAAAAAAAATAGAATAGAATAGTGAGTTTTAGTGGTACAGTATATTAAGGTTCAAATAAGAACATAAGAATGGAGGAAACTGCAGCGGGCCTATTGGCCCATACTGGGCAGTCCCATTTACACTCAACCCCTTTTGCTCATATAAGCATCCAACCCATGTTTCAAGCTATCCAGCGTAACTTGTTCCATTCATCCACTACTCTGTTACCAAACCAGTGTTTACCTATTTCGCGCCTAAATCGATTTTTTTCTATTTTAAAACCATTGTTACGAGTTCGCTTCTGGTTGGATAGTACCTTTGTAATGTTCCCTTTGTTTAGCCCTGACTTCCATTTATACACCTCTTATCATATCGCCTCTCACTCTACGTCTCTCGAGGGAGTGCAAATTAAGATGCTTTAACCTGTCTCTGTACTCAAGGTTCCTAATGCCCAGGATTAGCCTTGTCATTCTCCTCTGAATTCTTTCCAAGGATTCTATATCCATTCTGTAATACGGTGACCAGAATTGAACTGCGTAATCCAAGTGAGATCTCACAAGCGCAAGATATAGTTTTAGGATGACCTCGCTAGTCTTGTAACTAACACTCCTTTGTATGAACCCAAGTACTTTATTAGCCTTGTTTCGAGCAAATACACATTGTTTACTTGGCTTAAGGTTCCTACTTATCATTACTCCTATATCTCTCACAGTCGGATTTATGAAGTGATCGGTCACCCGGCAGAGATTGTTAAGGATCCAACTCCACTTCTCATCAACGCTTGGTCGTTTGTGTTTCTGGCGGCCGTGTGTGGCAATGGAGCCTCTCAGTGTTTTAGATGTACGCTTTGACTCGCTTGGGAATATCAGGTGGAGAGTGTGCTCCTGATCTTGAGAGTTTTGACCACTTAATTAAATAGATAAATATATATTTAACCATTACCGCTGCCACATTCTGCCACCTTGATTTACTCAGCGTATATAGTGATGATGTTCCCCCAAGTAGGTAGGGTAGAATAATGTTGACAAACCAATAATAATTTGGTTTCTCGTACATGAGGCAGGCATCAAGTGAAGGCTATGACCCACAGCAGCGTGGTGTGCATGTGAGTGGTGGGTGGATGGCTTTGTTCCCGGCTACGCCGCCACCCACTACCACTAATTAATTTAATTACCTTTTCTCGCAGTTTTTTCTTGCACCTCTCGCTCATACGGATTAAGGGATAAACCTGCACATTAAATTTCATTTTTATGAAGGCGTATTTTATTTTATTCGTTTAATTGTACCAAATAATCTGCACGTGTGAGTGTTTGGGATGGTGAAATAAAATTTAGGTAGTAATGGCGTTATTGCATTAGGCGAAGGTTTGTTGAAAAGCGCGTGAGGCATCGGGAAGGGAAAAGAAAGGCGAGGGGACCCATAAAGCTATATTGTTGTCTTGGGAGTGTTCCCTCCCCCTGCCCCCCCACAATCAATTAGCTAGGTAAATTGAGGCGGGAGTTTAGAGCGGAACTTTAGAGAAGATATTTACAAGTTGCTGGAGGCAGTGTATTAATCACGCAAGTTTTTATTGGCATGGGCGAGATGGGAAACCTGGAGTGGAGTTTGGTGAGATGTCGCCCTGAGTGAGAAGTGGGAAGTTGGCATGTATAATGGGCAAGTCATAGTGTCTCCGGGTAGGTGGGGTTAAGCTAGGACATGATTGTGTGCGCACGTTGGTGTTAATGTTAGGATTCGCTGTATTTCCAGTTAATTCTTAAACACTACGTGAAAAGAAGATGACAATTGTTGATGGTTTCAGATAATGCTTCAAAGAAGATAGGTCAAGCGAGATCTGGACAGGAACCAGAAAACCGTCTTCATGGAAATTATATTTACTTAGAGAAAATGGGCGTTGATCGTATACACTGGACCAGGATGGTGGATCCTGCACTAATAATATGCACTACAGTTATCAGGACTTGTGTTCACTCCTCATGTGCTCCGTTTTCCGCGGTGCGAGTTATTTACCAGTGCGTGAAGGGAAGAGGGGCGTTGGGTTACAGAAGGAGGGAGGAGTGATAGATACTGTACCATGTCGTTGTAATATTTACTGGTAGGTCAGGCGGGAGGCGTGGGGGGCACACATAATTACAGAGGCTGGTGGCGTCGTTGTGAGAGGCCGCGCGATGGCTCTTGGCAGGGGACGCCTTTGAAGGTGTTTTTCACACGGCTGCCCGTTAATAGTTCCCGGGTGTCGAGAGCGACGCTACCAGAGGCGCCTTCAATTTACGTTTAATTAAATATATTGTGGTGCACGGGGCGGAGGGTGTGATATGGCAGATGCTTTGACAGTGACACGACAGCTGCGATATGTTGACAGTTGGGCTGCACACCGTCGCCTCCCTTCTCCAACAAGTTTCCTATCACATGCCAGATAGCGGCGCCTCCCCTCCCCCACCTTTGGGCCACGCTCTTCCTCCCTCGCCGCCACAATTTCCAGGGTAGAATGTATCCTTGTCTTGGGTCTTAACGCGTTGGTCTTACTGGCTTTTATTTGTGTATTTTTTTTTTAGGGTAAAGGGAACCCATGAAATGATGTAACATAGACGCTTACCTTGTGTACACGACATTCCCTTTATCAGATGTCGCTGAAGGGATACTGGGGTGAAGGGAGTGGGAAGCGCACTTTGCATTACTGAGTGGCTTCTTCCTCACCAATGTTACCTTGGTCATAATGCCTCCTCGCTTCTCACCGGTGTTGTGTCGTTCACTCGGGTTATTATATGTATTGCAGTAACAAGCAATACTTTACACACATCGCAGCCATTTTTTTATGTTTATTCGGCATCAAGCATATACGTTATGTCTTGCTATCGCCATTCACGAACGTTAACGAACTTGTATAAATAATATAGGTACTTGTTCGAGACGCGTATGCCAGCATGTAGTCTGCAAGGTTCATGGGGGGGGGGTCCATCCCCTATGGAATCGCCAATTTACTGTTACATGTCGTATTTTGACTCGGAAGCAATTTGTAATAATGACTTGACGGCGGATCTCTTAAATGTAGAAGACATACTTAACGTATATCACAGCTGAGAAAAGAAAAAGCTGGGACATGGACGAGTAGAACAAACCTTTGTAGTGCACGTTTCCTCTAAATCCCTCCACCCCCACACACACGACTCATGTAGCCCCCCACTACACGACCCTCAGGTTGACTCCCCCCGCGTGGAGAAGGGAAAAAAAAGCTCTGTTGCTCCCCGGCCTGTTGTTTGGCTGGGAGGGGGATGGGGAGGACGTTGCTGTTGGAAGTCACTTTGTGTCAGCGGTGTTCAGGACTGACGCTTATGTTGTCATAAGTGCAGTAAGGGGTAGACTGCGCCATCTTCATCTTTTCCATAATGAAGCTTGAGCTGGCAGGTTGGGGTAGCGAGGTCTTTTTTTCGATGGTGGTGTTCATACAAGGGATAATGAAATATTGATCATGCGGGCTAGGCGGGCCGGGGGCACGTTTTGTGCCGGGTTTCTTCCCCTGTGCGTCTGGCAGCCATGTGGGGGTGGTGCCTGCCCCGCACCCTCCCTCTTCATTGTTACTGAGTCTGGTCACCCTCCCTAACTCATCCTCTTGCCAGTCTCGGCGTCGAGACATGACCTCATTTGACCTCACTTGGGGATTGAGACACTTCATTCCAGTCTGTACAGTACAACATAATAATTCTTATCTCTCCCATTGCAGATCTTCTCGCGTGTCGGCAAAGTGCTCAAAATCGTCACGTTCACAAAGAACAGTAAGTTGATGTTACTCTGTGTCTGTCAAGTCTGTTTTAAAAGTTTGTGTAGAGTTGTCAAGGTTATAATCTACTCACACCTGTAATGTATAGGAGCGATTGCATCTTACTTTTACAGGAGCTGAAGTGTGGTGAGGAGTAGAACTATGGTGGAGTATTGGTGGGGAAGTGGAACTGTGGTGGACTATTGATGAGGGGAGTGGAACTGTGGTGAAGTATTGATGGGGGAGTAGAACTGTGGTGGGGAAGTGGAACTGTGGTGGACTATTGATGAGGGGAGTGGAACTGTGGTGAAGTATTGGTGGGGGAGCAGAACTGGTGGAGTATTGATGGGGGAGTAGAACTGGTGGAGTATTAAGGGGAATGGAACTTGGAGGAGTATTGGGGAGTAGAACTATGGTGGAGTATTGATGGGCGAGTAGAACTGTGGTGGAGTATTGATGGGAAGTAGAACTAGTGGAGTATTCATGGGGAGTAGAACTGTGGAGGAGTATTGATGGGAGTGGAAGAGCAGCAAAGTATTGATGAGGAGTGGAAGAGCAGCAAAGTATTGATGAGGAGTGGAAGAGCAGTGGAGTATTGTTGAGGGGAGTAGAACTGTAATGGATTAATGATGAGTGGAGTGGAACTGTGGTGTAGTATTGATGAGGGAGTAGAACTGTGGTGCAGTATTGATGGGGAGCAGAACTGTAATGGAGTATTGATGAGGGTGTGGAACCGGTGGAATAGTTTTATGGTGGAGTATTGATGGGGGAGTAGAACTGTGGTGGAGTATTGATGGGGAGTAGAACTGTGGTGGAGTATAGATGGGGGAGTAGAACTGAGTATTGAAGGGGTAGAACTGTGGTGAGTAATGATGAGAGAACTGTGAGTATTGAAGGGTAGACCTGTAGGAGTAATGCTGGGGAGTAGAACTGTGGAGTATTGAAGGGGTAGATGTGTGGTGGAGTATAGATGGGGGATTAGAACTGTGAGCATTGAAGGGGAGAACTGTGGTGGAGTATTGATGGAGGAACTGTGGTGGAGTATTGATGGAGTAGAACCGTGGTGGAGTATTGATGGGGAGTAGAACTGTGGTGGAGTATTGTTGGGAGTAGAACTGTGGTGGGAGTATTGATGGGGAGTAGAACTGTGTGGAGTAGAACTGTGGTGGAGTATTGATGTGAGTAGAACTGTGGTGGAGTATTGATGGGGAGTAGAACTGTGGAAGAGCAGTGGAGTATTGATGAGAAGAGTAGAACTGTAATGGAGTATTGATGGGAGTAGAACTGGTGGAGTATTGATGGAGTAGAACTGTGGTGGAATATTGATGGAGTAGAACCGTGATTGAGTATTGATGGGAGAGTAGAAATGTTAGGGGAGTAGAACTGTTGAGTATTGATGGGGGAGTAGAACTATGGTGGAGTATTGACGGGGAGTAGAACTGGAATATTGATGGGGAGTAGAACTGTGGTAGAGTATTGATGAGAGAACCGTGGTGGAGTATTGATGGGGTAGTAGAACTGTGGAGGAGTAGAACTGTGGTGGAGTATTGTTGGGGAGTAGAACTGTGGTGGGAGATGGGGAGTAGAACTGTGGTGGGAGTATTGATGGGGAGTAGAACTGTGGTGGAGTATTGATGGGGAGTAGAACTGTAGGAGTATTGATGGGGAGTAGAACTGTGGTGGAGTATTGATGGGAGTAGAACTGTGGTGGAGTATTGATGGGGAGTAGGACTGGTGGTGTATTGATGGGGGGAGAGAACCGTGGTGGAGTATTGATGGGAGTAGAACTGTGGTGGAGTTTTGTTGGGGAGAACTGTGGAGTATTGATTGGAGAGAACTGTGGTGGGAGTATTGATGGGAGTAGAATTGTGGATGAATATTGATGGTGGGAGGAACTGTGTAGTATGAGGAGGAGAGAACTGTGATGGAGGAAGATTGATGAGGGGAGTGGAACTGTGATGAAGTATTGATGAGGGAGTGGAACTGTGTAGTATTAATGGGGAGGAGAACTGTGATGGAGTATTGATGAGGGAGGAACTGTTTAGTATTAATGAGGGGAGTAGAACTGTGATGGAGTATTAATGAGGGAGTAGAACTGTGATGGAGTATTGATGAGGGGAGGAACTGTGTAGTATTAATGAAGGGAGTAGAACTGTGATGGAGTACTGATGAGGGAGGGAACTGATTAGTATTGATGAGGGGAGTAGAACTGTGATGGAGTATTGATGAGGGGAGTGGAACTGTGCAGTATTGATGAGGGGAGTGGAACTGTGATGGAGTATTGATGAGGGAGTGGAACTGTGATGGAGTATTGATGAGGGGAGTAGAACTGTGATGGAGTATTGATGAGGGGAGTAGAACTCTGGTGGAGTATTGATGAGGGAGTTACTGTGGTGGAATATTGTTGGGGGAGTTATTGTGGTGGCGTATTGATGGGGAGTAGAACTGTGGTGGAGTATTGATGGGGAGTAAAACTATGGTGGGAGTATTGATGGAGTAGAACTGTGATGAAGTATTGATGGGGGAGTTAAACTTTGGTGGAGTATTGATAGATAGTAGAACTGTTGAGTATTCATGGGGAGTAGAATTGTGGTGGAGTATTAATAGGGAGTAGAATTGTGGTGGAGCATTGATGGGGAGTAGAATTGTGGTGGAGTATTGATAAGGAGAATGGAAGAGCGGTGGAGTATTGATGAGGGGAGTGGAAGAGCTGTGGAGTATTGATGGGGGGAGTGAAAGCTGTGGAGTATTGATGGGTGGGAGTGGAAGAGCAGTGGAGTATTGATGGGGGGAGTGGAACTGTGGTGGAGTATTGGTGAGGGGAGTGAAGAGCGGTGGAGTATTGATGGTGGGAGTGGAAGACCAGTGGAGTATTGATGGGGGGAGTGGAACTGTGGTGGAGTATTGATGAGGGGAGTGGAAGAGCAGTGGAGTATTGATGGTGGGAGTGGAATTGTGGTGGCATATAATAATTGTTTTAGGGAGGGGAAATGTGAAGGAGCGTAGCTGATTAATTGATGGAGAAAGAGGAGCAGTAGAACAGTGTGTTAAGGTAAGACAAGATGCAGGTTGTGGTGAACCTGTTGCCTCTGGGGTGGATAGTGCTATCATTGTGTTCCGGTGGTGGTCTTGCACTACTATGAATGTAGTTATCAATGTGGCTAACGTTGGTGCCAGTGTGCCAAGATATACCACATGCCGGCCACAAAAATTTCGCCTCGTATTGTCCTCAAAACAAGCAGCATGATTGGCATTACCTGTACATTATACATCGCTCTAAGAATGACACTACTGTATTGCATTACAAAGAACTAATATATAATTTAGAAAATGTTTAATGAAACTGAATAGTTTTGAAATTGTTAATGAATTACTGGTTTAAAGAAATGTGTATTACTGTACCCCACTTGTACTAGTGTTTACCCTATTAATTTCATGAATTACCCGGTACTGTGCTGTTCAGTGCAACTATAGTATTGCAATTTTTAAGTGTTAACATTAATGTTATAGGATAATTTTTTCCTTTAATTTTTTTATTTAATTGGAGAAATTGTTGATGGTGAGGGGAACTTTGGTATGATGTGCTGAAGGAGTGTCCAAATTAAAGATACCCGACCTGTACAATAATTTTAGGCTGTTAAATAGGGGGGAGAGGTAGTAGTGCTAAGCCAGATGGCTGGTCTGTTTATGTTCGTGCTATTTTGGAGAGTTTGTTTATCAGCGACCAACCTTCCCACCATAATCCTACCCTCTCACAGCTTACACTAATTTAGTATTACAATTAATGTTGTTTAGTACTGCAGTAGGAGTGTTGCTTGTGGTTACTATCAACAGTATTTGGACAGTGTATTGCAGTTTCCTCAGTACAAATGGTTTTAAGATGCAGTAAAACTAAGTTCACTCATAAATGTTTTATTTGTCCAATTACACATGCCTGGGGGGATTTGCTGTTGTGCTTCCGTATGAACATAGTTGTACACAGTAAGAAAAAAAAGGATCGTGGGGGTCTGCTGACTTGGGTAATGATCCATACATCACCTGATGTGCTGGGAGGGTTGGTATATGTGCCTGTATGGCAAAGGTTTCCACCGACCTCTTATTGGGCAACAGAAAAGCAGGGCTACTGCCATAATACAGGACCAACACGCATATTCCACTATCCCTCATCCGTGATGTCATATTGCTTCATACATAATCCTAAGTTTGTTAACAAGATTACACTTACGGTTCAACCCAAACTTTTCAAGGGATGACTGACAGGAAAATATGGCCTTTACAACTTGGTATCACTTCCAGTGAACCGTATTAATGAACCTGTTATCTGGCCCACGTTCCCAGTATTCCTTACCAGAGGCGAGATAGGGTAGGCAAATTTTCGCTTTTTGGCTGCATATGGTTAACTACAGTACTATACTCTAGTTGTAGGACAAGTGCAGTGCAGTTCTGTATTGTACTAGCTCATACCAGATACAAAACATGCAGTTCTGTACTTATATACATACTGGGGATTTGATCCTATGATCAGTGAGCTGTCAGTCTAGTGTATTAATCACCATGCCACCATACTGTACCTGGATTAAACTAATATTATATACTGTAGATCCCATGTAGGGTTATTTATTTGGTATATTGTTTAAGGACTGCAGAATTGATCAATTTATTGCTACAGTTTATTTTCTAAAGGACATGTTCATGAAATGGAAGACAGAAAGCTTTGAAACAATTGGTTATTACTTGTTTTTAATTGTAACAATTTAAATTTGGTGGTTTATGCATTTTTACCTAATTGTGGTGTATTTTGTAATAGGTCTATTTGAAGTCTTAAGGAGTCAATCTGCAAAGAAAATTTAGTGGTAAATGAGAAATTCCTCATTAGTTGTGGAATGCATCATGAATTTCTTTGGTAGACATAATTTCCTTGTAATGGTTCATTAACCATGTTTGTGTATCAGCTCACATTTTATGAATAAAATAATTTCTTTACAGATACATTCCAGGCCTTGATCCAGTATCCTGATGTAGTTACTGCACAGGCAGCCAAAATGGTAAGCATAATACAGTATGAAAAAGAAAATATGGTCAATAATGATACAGTATTTGGATACCTGTGATATCTTTAGAGGAAAGAAATTTGACTGATGGTTCAAATCTATTATCATTGGCAATATGATGAAGTAGGTTATGGTAGTTGAAGGATAGCATTTAAAAATAAACATATAGTGAAGAGCTTTATCGATCTCTTCTCATCTGTGAAATGTCTCTCCAGTTCTAAATTACATAAAATCTGTTGTTTGTTTTTTTCTAAGATGATAATCATATTGCTATGGGAAGTAATGCTTAATACTCCATATTCACTGTGTGTATACAGACTCTGGATGGGCAGAATATCTACAATGCCTGCTGTACATTACGCATTGAGTACAGCAAACTGAGCAACCTCAACGTGAAGTACAACAATGACAAATCAAGGGACTATACCAACCCCAACCTTCCAACGGGTGACCCTGCCCTGGATTCTGCCCTGGCTATTGGTGGTAAGTGGCGTGCCTGCCCAGCAGTGTGGTCGACCAGCGGGCCACTCCCTGCACGCAATGTGGGCTGCTTCCCACGTGGGCCACCCTGCATGCAAAGTGGCCCATCTATCCACTACCAATCCCAGCCCACAAGCACATTCATAAAATAGTAACATAGAACCAGTGATAAATTAAGCTATACAGTATTTATTTTGTTATTTGGTCCATTTGTAGAATTAAGTGTTTAGTTAAACAAACTTGTAATAATGTAATAATTTAAGGTGTTGATGCCTAGTAGAACTGGATATGTTGCTTGCGTGTGGCTGTGGGACTAGGTTGTTGTGGACTCCCCATCTGCTCTCTTCTGGACTCCTCTTCCCCAGACTTCACCAGCCTGTCCCCCTCTTCTCTTCTCCAGACTGCTTACCAACTTTTCCACTCAATTCCTCTGTCCTCTTGGACGTTTCCTGTTGCGTTTTGTTGTTGATTTTTATGTACCAGATTTATTTGGTTTCACATACAAAATAACTTTCCAAACAATGACAAAACAAACCAAACAAGACTGATCAGGACAAGTTTAAAAACATTAAATTAGTTTTTTGTCTGCCTCAATTTTTTAATAAACCAATTATTTTGCAATGTCAGGGGTTTATTCAATATTTTTATTATTTTTACCCCAAAACCTTTTCCAAAACAGTCCCTTTGTAATCCCCAGAATTTCATCCCTGGAAAGATGAGAGAGAAAATGCCATTTTGAAGGGTGACCCATTGGTTCCCTAAAGCCTCCTCAAAACTGAATTAAAAACCACAATTAAAAGTCCACCTCAGCACTATTAGTCGAGTAATGTAGGGGACAATTTTGGAAACCTTGTTTAGTGGTACTGTGTAGTTTTTTTTATATTATGTGCTGGTTTTTATTGAGTTTTGTGGCGAGGAAGGGAGAACCCCGTGATGTCCGTACGTAGCAGCACCTCTGCCACACACGGCCCGAGTGCACGTGACCACCATTGTCTAACACACACTGGCACACACTCGCCCTCATACTAGTCCCACAGCTCTAGTAGGGTTGGAAGCTATGCTTTTCTAATTAAGAGTTGTAGCTGTTGGGATCCACCAAAGCAGTCAGAATTAAAAGCTTTTATTTGCACTAATCCAAATGTAGACATTTCAGCCAAGTAGATTTCACAGAGGGTGTTAGTTCTTTTATAAGTACAGTATAGTTCTCGGTGGGTGTATGTGGGCATGTTGATACTAGCTGTGCGCTGTTGTTGTGTTAGTTAGGGGTCTTGATGGGAATAACAGTCTCTGCTCCCACTCAAAGTCTCCTAGTGTAGTCTTTGAGGTGACACTAGTTAAATGAATGAAAAAAAAAAGGTTTTTAAATTTGATGGGTAATATGATAAACACCATTGATAATACAGTGCTTTTTTAAAGGCTGTATTTCTTACTGGGATTTGTGCAACTTCATATACCCTCAGGTTTAAAAGTCTTTGCTTTCTTATTCATTTGATAGTGGGTCCAGTACATTCCTTTTGGATTGGAAGTAGAGACTGCTTTCCCTAGCCAGAGGGTGTGTGTGTGGTGGGGGCTCGTGGACCCAGCCTCAGGGTGTGCTATCAATATTGTAGGTGCCCCCGGTGTGCTAGCCTCCCCGTTTGCTGCAATGCATGGACTCTCGTCGCCGCTAACCGCTGCCTATGGGGCCTCACCTGCGGGAGGTATGGTACTGCACGATTAACACTGCTGCCACTTCCACCATCCCCCTTACAGCTCCTCTCCTAGATTGCTACCTGCTTGGTGCCCAGTTATGACCCTCTTTCACTTTGTGCCCTCAAGCTAGCAAAGTGTGTATAATGTGTTTGTTCATTATCCAGGGCTCTAGCAATTTAAAAGCAATATAGTTGAGAGCCATTTTGTGGAAAATTGATTGATCTCCAGTGGTTGCAATGTGAATTGGAACACTTAAAAGTTGTTAAACATTTTTGTTCAGCATTAAAATTAATGTAATATTTAATGAACTTGGATTGTCCAGTGAAAGGGTAAAGTAGCAGGTTGAAGGAGTGAGAGATGTAAGGGGGAGTCTACGTGGTGGGTGGTGGGTAGTACCATTTGCTTTTTGTTACTACTAATATTATCAACGTGTAGCAAGGCCAAGAGCCCAACCATGATGACAATATTATTGGTCATACCAAGTGGTAATGGCAGCTGATATTGTCACAGTTGCCATTTTGGCTTTTGCACAGTGAAGTACAGTACATTTTGATAATTATTGCAAACAGGAAAATGAATTTAAGCATTAGGTTGTAAATAATTAAAGGCATGCTTGAGTTACTTGGCCTTGCTTTAGCAGATGATTGTTGTGTGTCAAGTCAAATGACATTTGTGTAATGACTGATGCAATGAGACTGGCTTGAGTCAAATAGTTTTGTTAACATATGTGATATCTATCAGCATTTAGAAAACTAGAGATTGGATTATCTCTTCTCCCTGTGAATGCTAGTCCCATGGAGTATGTGTTGAAATAAGGATGGAGTACATGTTGAAATAAGGTATTGCCTTCACAAACATTGCCATGTCCTGGGTTTAGCAGGACCAGGGAGCATTCAATAAAGCCAGTGTCAGCCATGCAGTAGTTTTGTTAAGGTCGATTTCCAATTAGGCTCAAGATGTTCATAGCTCTTTTTATTTATTTATTTTTCAAAATTTATTTTACTTTGCTTCAAAAGTGGGATTGAAGTTCGTGTGTCCAGTGTTCATTTTATTTTCATTATATTGATTATTGTTTTTTTATTATTGGGTATTAATTGTTACAGATACTGTATGGTGCTGATTGATGCTGTAGGAATCCATCATTTTTATTGTTTATTTATTTGGTTTTGTTTTAATGTTGTAGAATTCCAGTACTAAGAAATGATGGTTAAGAGTAGTCAATTTTCTATTATAATGTGTATAAAATATACCTCTTGTGAAATATATATTCTGATTTTTACTTCAGCTCAAGATTGATAATGTACAGTGAAATCACGTTCAATATCATTTTGTTTTGACTTAGGATTCAATATTGTTTGTTTTATTTAATGGTATATAAGCATCTATATACCTGACTCAGATGTTACATGTGCCATTATAATAATCAAATGATATTGGGGTCTGATGGAAGGGTATTTCTCTCTCATACTCACCTGCAAGTTTCCCAGCTTTTGATTTTTTCCTGAATACTATTAAGACCTTTGTCCTCCTATAGTCTTGTTAAACACTTACTTCCTGATCCTGTTCTCTAAAAATTTGTATCTTTTATCCCGGTTTTCAAGAAGTTTTAAAAATTTTCATGTACATAAACATTCAAGAAGTCCCTCTGTATTCCCTCCCCCAAAGCTTTTTCTCATTCTAGCCTACTAGACCCGCGTTTACTCCACCCTGACCAAGATCCGGTTAGCATCGGGTCACTCCTGGACCTGTCTGGGGTCACTCCTGGTCATCTTGTCGCTTTTCACTGCCAACACTCCTCGGTGTTGTTGAGCCGTCAATGGCTACAACCGCCGCCATCACCAACACCACTACATGTTTATCTTTCTTACCTCGGACTGCTGCCGTACTTTTTCTAATGCTGAGCCCTTGTCATCATCATAGCCACAAACGTGATAGCCAGCTGTTCCCGTGTTAGCATGTCCTAAACTGACCTGACCTGACTTGGGCTCTCACTGTGTACTATCTCTGTTTCAGTTTCTTCTCTTTCAGCTCCTAATCTGAACTTACCGAACCGTACTGGCGAGAATGCTACTCCAACAGGTAGGTTAAATGTGACGGCGCGCACCTGCTATGCTTTGACATTAGGGTGAAAAACCGGGATCCTCTATAACTTTCTTTTCAAACCTTGAAATATATTGATGTTAAGAATTTCTTCTTATTTCCTTTACAGGACTATCGATCCTGGTTTTTACATCCTCTCCTTGTCCTTAGTTCTATGCACCAGCTAATTTTTGGAAAAAGAAAAGAAACGTTGAATTCATTAAAGTATCTTTGCAATAGCTTTGAAATTTTGTAATTCTAGTAGATCTTTACATTATTTAATTTACTGAACAAGTAATACCTTTCATTTTCTAGATTCAAAGAAAGTGCCTTAAGGCTGATGTAATAATATACATTTTAAAACTGTAGAGTACATATGACGTTGCAAGAACATTGATGAACTTAACTGGAGTGTTCTTACATTGATTATACGGCTAACAACACCAGAAGAGGATTAATATGTTCTTGGTGTGTTCCAGGCATGCCCTTCACAGGTATGCCTTTGGCAGGAGTAACTCCCACTGCTGCTGCTCTTGGTGCTGCTGGTATTCGTCTGCCAGGCCAGCCCTCTCCCAACTGTGTCCTGCTGGTGTCCAACTTGAATGAAGAGGTCAGTTCTTATGTTGCATCATGGAGCATTTCTGTTTTGGCTTTGCTTATGTCAGCCATGCAGATTACTTCCTATTAATACTTATCAGTACACAAATAATAATATTTTCTGTCTTTCCAGTATTAACTAGTCTAAAAAGTGCAGTCTTTGTATTACTACTGTACTGTATTGTACAGTATTTAGATATGTGACATTTTCAAGATTACCACATGGACAAGCTTTTGAGAAAAATAAATTAAGTCGATTTGCCATTTATGGCATATTATTGTGTACAATCTCCAGAAGAATGTTATCATTATGCTGCTATCATATTTCTCTTGGCCTAGGCATTAAATGAACAGGTAATTCTTTGAAAATGTTTCCAGATTTTCAGTTTTCAGTAGCATACACTTAAGTTTCAATGACAAGTACATTTTAATAATACACTATTGTGTGCTATCCCAGTCTGTGTTCACATAGTATCAGAAAGCACATGCACTCAAAGTATAATAAAAGGGCTTAAATTTATAAAAATATTGCAGTGTGTGCAGCTGCACACTCTCTCTCTTACCCATCCCTGTTGATACTCTTTGACAGCTGCATGACCTCTGCTTGGATACTACAGCAGCTCGAGAGTGCTGCACTGGAGTCTTATTATAGTTTGAACCTCTGAACCCAGTTTGCTCCAAGAATTTTCTGGCATTGCAAGCATGTGCAGCTCTTATTTATCCTGTTAATTTTAAATGCTAGCACACTCGTGAGTGATTCAAGCATGGGTCTGCCCACTGATCACTACTTATACCTTGTGAAAGGCCATGTCTGCTGAGCCAATAGTCAGTCGTCATAGTCTTGTGTTTCTAGCCAGTCCAAGATCTTCATTACTACCCTCTTTTTGTACAAAGTGGCATATCCATCTTTCTGTGCCAAATAAAATACAAAGCATTTTCACCCAGCATTTATGTTTTAAAACCTCTAGGATACACTTCATCTTTCATAGATTAAACTTCATGTAAAATACTACTTCCCAGCTTACATAATATATTTGAGCTACATGCAACTTTTAACTGATGATTGAATCCTGGTTTATGTATACAGCAATAACTTGCTTTTTTGGCCTCTTATCCTAGATACCTGGCTAATTAATGAAGAGGAACTGTTGCTTCCTCACTTATAGATTTTACTGCCAAAGAATATCATCATTCAGTAGCTATGCATTACCCAGGATTTTTTATTGATTGAATTTTTTTTTTTTTTAATATTAAACATTCTCTGGATCAAGATTTTGGGTATCTTCAGCTTACAATCAATAATGCCTCTCTAGGTAATTGAATATAATTGTGCAGCCTCTTCATGTTTATATTGAATCCTAACTGTGCTGCCTCTGTTTGCCCACCTGTTGTTGGGTGTGATCTTGGTACCAGAGAGTGCCTCCTGCTGGTCTGTTGCCACACTAGACACTCCATCCTCCCTCCATGCTGCCAACACTAACGCTGAATCTCTCCCACTGCTCACACTCATCATCTGAGAACGCCCCTATTGGCAGGGACAAGTGTTGGGGTTTGTCCTAGTGCTGGTGTAGTATAGTCTTCTAAAGTTGTAGAGAATGGATGTGATCCCTGACCACTAGAATGAAGTGATGGTCAGACAGTCCTGTGAGTTGTGCAGTGTAATGTAGTGTTGGCACCACCAGTGCTGATGTGAGTGATGTTAGTGGAAGCACCAGGCCAGCAGCACTACTGCTCCCCCCTACCCCCCTTACATTAGCCCACAACCAATGGCCAGAACCCGAGGGTCGTGTCTAACGTGATGTGTTTTATGTTCTCTTGCTGTGGTGCCCCCTGGACTCCATCTTTCTTGCTGGACTGGCCTCTCCTTCGCGACTCTCCTCTACTGTAGATGGTCACGCCTGACGCTCTCTTTACCCTCTTCGGTACGTCACTCAGTCATTGCACGTGCAGCACCCTTGTGTGTTGTACACTTGTTACTTTTTTATAGCATAGAGTATAGAATCCAGTCTCCTTTTATATTCAAATCAAAATATTATCTGCCAAAACTTTTACTACATCCACATTTGTATTGCATCCTCATTTAGCATAAATTTTGTTCTATCTTCATACATCATTTTAAATAGTAGTATATTAGTTTTTAAAAGATAAAATTTCATATTCAGTGGTTATATCAACTTTATTTTTCAAATTTCAATCCATAATATTTGATTTTCTAAGTTCCTTTTTTAATGCATGCAGTGTGTGAAAACTGTAAATATGTATCCCTCCCTGATACCTTGAAAATGATATGCACTGTCACTAATTTGATCTTCAGTAGCATTTGTGTTTTACAGGCTTGTTTTTTTCATTTTCTTCTCTTTCATTCCCGAGTCACAATGTGGATAAATATTGCTTCTAATAACCAGAACTTTATTTATGTGTATATAGTAGTGTTTGTGTTTATACTGCCTGACTGCTCCAATGGGTTGCCTACTCTGATGGGTTTGGGTTGCAGTCTATTTTCCAAATTAACACAGGATATCAGAGCCGTGAATTGCAGTTCATGGAGGGCACACCGTTTACAGTTACCTTTTTAAAGCTGTATTTCATAAAGAACAAAAAAGAAGAAAAGGAACAGGTTTACCCTATATTACAATCTTGATCAAGAGGTACCAGTTCAGTAGTAATTGTTTTTCCTTCTTCTATCCCTGGTTAAATGTTTGCTCCTTGAAGTGGTATCTTGGATGTGATAGTAAATTTATCTCATACAGTGAAAGGCTGTTCAAAAGCAGGCAGACAGTTACAACTTTGGTGTACTGTGGATGGCTTCTGCTGCTGTTACTTCAACGATGTAGTAAGTGACCCCCTCCCCCTTGATGCTGTACTTTGCAGGAGTGTATGGAGATGTTCAGCGTGTCAAGATTCTCTTCAACAAGAAGGATAATGCCCTGGTCCAGATGTCTGAACCACACCAGACCCAACTTGGTTAGTACATTTATTACCAGTACAGTATAAAAGTTGTTTGTTACTTCCATTTAGTTTGGTGTTAGAAAGGATCTTGAGAGGTGTTTTGACAGCTATTGCACTGCTAGTTTTGAAAGGTTTCGGTCTTCTCTTTCTCTTTTTTATGGATGATTGATGTATTTCATGTATTGTTCACAGAATTGTATTTTTATGAATCCACTCTCCATAGGAAGTAGAGAGAGCTTATTGGCTTACCTTTATTTCTTTATAGTCATATTCATCCCTTCGAAGCTCATTCTAATTTGTAACTTAAACAAGTCTTCACAAATGGAAATGCTGTTTGGTTTGCAGTTTCATATCATGAATTATGTAACCTGCATACAATAATGAAGTATCAAATTTTCTTAACCAGAGTAAGGTTATGTTCCATTTGACAACAATGCCATGGGTGCATCTTTGCTCTACATGATATCAAGAAGAGTGCCTTTACTTTCACTGATTGTTGTGGATATAGTTGTCCTTTTCTTCAACATTCCTTATTGAAAAAGTGGTGGTGATATGGTGAATTTCTTCATTATGTCAAGCAGCTTGCAGACCACAGAAAATGTCAGAAATATCAGTGACATTTTCTAACATTGAAGATTTTTAAATTGCACTATCTGCAAAAGAAGGCTAAGTGACAATATAAGTGCAGATGAAGGTTCCATTGCATACTGTGTAAATTTAATCTTAACTATAATATCCCCAAGAACTGCAAGGAAAAACATAAGACATACTCAAAACAGTTTATTTAGTTTGGGCTCTCTAAATACTGTATGCATATTTTAACAGATGCTGTATCCACATGACACACACCTGGGAGCATGGTGCTGCTGTATACTCATACCTGGGACACATTACTCTATCTTCTTAATGATGATATCAGGTCATTCTATGTACACGCAAGCAAGTTAGTTGCTGGTACAGTTGCCTATATTTATAATGGGTACAGTGGCTGGCTTGTTTTGTGTGATGTTGCACCTCTTTGTTTACATCATAGTACAACTAGCAGAATGGTCAGAACTACCCTAGTTATGGTAACTAGACCAAGGATGCTGAATAAGCAGTGCCCCCCCCCCCCTATCTATGAATATGTGCATTTTCTGCATGGTTATTCAGTAGATTACCAAGTAGAATGTCATTGCCTCCTGTCTGGTGGGTGGTGGTGCCACGTCTCACAAAACATGCCAGCCACTGTACCCGTTACAAATGGAGGCAACTGTATGTTGGACATGACCTTAGTTACCTTATTTGACATTGGAACTGTGACAGGGTAATATATCACCAGTGGAAGTATCTAGTTTCCTTCACAATAATCAAATTTACACTAATATGGTTAAGTTTTTACATGTACAGTAGGGTCGCTATATACTAAATCACGATATATAATTACATGTAATCAATGGGGAAAATAGGGTTAGGTTCTGGAGGCCAATAAAGGTGACTAAACCTGACTTAATGGGTATATATTCTTACTAACTAAAGCACCAATGAACACTAGACTCAGAAACAACGGCTGTTTCAATATCAAGGAACACCAGAGGCGTCAGCTGACATACCATCCCGGGAACATCAGACTCGCCAGCTGACGCACCATCCCGGGATCACCAGACTCGGCATCTGACGCACCATCCCGGGAACACCAAACTCGGCAGCAGGCGCCACACTGCCACCCCCACTTGACAATCCCACACCTACATAAATGAACAAACCAAAAATATTAGTTACAGTATTAAATCTTTTCCATTAAGCTTTCCATTATCTTCACTTCACTTTTCACGTCACTAGCAACCCATTTACACTCGCCTTAGAAGTCGCAATATGCAGCAGAGTTGGCTGCTTACTCGTCACTCACCCGGAAAGACTGAGCGGGCGAGTGTGAATGCGTGGGTGAGCAGCCACGGTGGCACCTCTCGTGAGCAAATAACGCATGTGTTTGCTATGGCGGTACATTTGAAATATTTCCTGCCTGATTTCCTTCGCGAAAAAATAAATTTATCGCTATATGTTGGAAAATGTTGATAACTTTCGTGGTCGCGATATATCCCGACCCTACTGTACATGGTTGTGCATTGCTTTATTCATCTTCCCAGTGCATTTCTAATCTTTTTTTATTGACATTCCAAAATATCTGAATGTATATACTAATTGTAGTTATCATTACATTGCATTTGGCAGTCTCCTGTGAACACTGCCCTCACCTTCTACTGTACTTACATCACCAAAGCAATAAATGTTCTGGCAAACTCCTTTTCTTACCTGGCAAATGTAATGGCATAATCCTTGCACCACAGCTGTGACAGCCTCACCTTGATTGAAATATATTGTCAGCATTAGTCTTGCTCCTTATTCTCTTCTTATCCATCGAGGATTTCATGCACATTTGTTCACCTACGGTAGTTTCATATTGGTTTTAATTAGAAATCTTAAGACAAAAGACTGAGTAAACTTTTCCATATCTCATACCTTAAACTAACTCATGGAATATTTTCAAGCTTTTTTCCATAGATGTACTGTACTGTCTATTCTCTTGTCATTCATTTTTTTTGTCCCTATTATACAGTACAGTCGGCCCTTAACATACGCGGGGGTTACGTAACAGAGATACCCGTGGATGTTAAAAATCCGCGTATTTTTGCTGCCACCTCCCCCAAAAAAAACCCTGGCCCCCCCATTTCCTTATTTACCGGATATACCTGTGTGTAGTTCGAGTTTTTAAGACCAAATTATTTGGCAAAAATTTGGGGGTCGACCTCTAAACGGGTAATAGTTTCGTTAGGTTGAAAAATATTTACCAGGAACTACCAGTAAACAATGGAAACGATGCACCAACGCACCACCAGCTGTGAGTGTCGGTACAGTTGCCAGGGCAGATCTCTTGCGTCATCATAGCAAGCCCAAAGTAGCCAAATCCATGGTATGGTAGCACAGGATGATGTAAAACATAAAGTATTCATTTATTAAAGTTTATTTATAGATACTGTACTGTACATAAATTTTTGTTCATTACATTTGAAACATCAATCTTTGTTAATTAAATTTGAAACAAAAGAAAACTACGATACCGTATTTTCATTAAAATATTACATCACAAGTATATTTTACCTTAACTGTGACTGAATGAATATACGTATTCTCAGAAATAAATATGGAAATATAATATTTTTGCTGGAATGACGTACATATTACAGTGGAAAGTGGGATAAAATCATGACGAAAACAATGACTTTCGCTTTCGCTTTTCGTTATTCAAAAGGTTTTACCGTAATCGCTTTTCGAATGGTTTTCAGTTAAAAATTTGTTGTACTCGTACTGTATTACAATAATATTCTATCCTATCATTAGCCTTATAATCCCACAACTGAAAACCATTGGAAAAGCGATTACGGTAACATCTTTTGAACGAAAGAAAGAGAAAGTCATTGCTTTCGTCACAATTTATCCCACTTTCCAATGTAATACGTACATCATTTCAGCAAAAATATTACATTTCCATGTTCTCAGAAATAAATGGTAGTTTTGTTGAAACGTAATGTACAGTATTTGATATTAAAATGCAAAAATAGCTATAAAAACAATTAATATGCCCGTAATGTACTGGCTGGCATCTCCACTCGTCCCTGCTCCCGCATCCAAGGTCACCACTCCTCCCATGTCCCTCCCTCCGCTCCGTCCTCACCATCACTACTGCCGACAACAAACACAAATGTTTTGTGAATAACTGCACCTCCACTTCCTATGTACAGTACTGAACTGTACTGTGCTGTGCATTTTTACAAACAATAAACATGGCAAGAAAAGCTATTAAAAAAAAAAGAGATAACAATTTCACTTTACTGTACCGTACCTATCCTCGGCGACAGGACGTGGGTCATCGGGCTCATCGTCAATCAATTCCACAACGGGTGGTGAAGTGGGGGCGACGGTGGATTCAGCTGCTTCCTCACTGCCGCCATTGATTGATGGTGTTAAATCTCTCCTTCGGTGATCAAAGAACATGGTGATGGGGAGTTGTCGTCTCTTTCTTTTCATTTCTTCCATGATGTTTTTGTATGGAGCAAAAACGTCATCCATCCATCACATGAATTTCAGGGCACGCACCATGGAGGGGTCCATACTATAGGCCAGGTTCTTCAGTGCCTTAATATTCCTGGTCATCTCCCCCAACTTCTCCAACGTTATTTCTTGGTGCTCTTCCTCTTCCTCATCCTCTTTCCCTTTCGCTTCCTCTTCCTCGCCTGAGTCTACTAACTCCTTTAGATCTTCCTCGGTCAGCTCAGTGTCGTGCTCTTCAATTGGCTCCCTAATCTCGTCCTCTGCCATGTCCTGGAAGCCTTCAGCAGCCACTTTCCTTGACAGTGCCAGGGTCTTTCTGAATATTTTCATTAAAATCCATCAAAATCATTTTCCTTGTCATCGTCTTAAGCACCAAACAGCTCCTCCCAGTCTTCTCCTTGAACAGGGCTAGAGGATACATGTTTTTCGAATCGTTTTCAATTAAAAAATGTTACAGCACATGTATATTTTACCTAAACTGTGCCTGAATGAATATATTCTCAGAAATATATACAGTAGTAGTTTTGATGAAACGTGATGTATTTCAATGTAAAATAGGATAAAATACATGACGAAAACAAAAGACTTTACCTAACCTTCCGATGTTCAAGAGATGTTACTCGTTTTTTTAATAGTTTTTGGTTAAAATACTGTTATATTACAATGATATTCTATTCTTATTGTGCTTGATATACTACATTCATGGAAATGTAATATTTTTGCTGAAATGACGTACGTATTACAGTGGAAAGTGGGATAAAATTGCTGATGAGAACAATGATTTTCGCTTTCTTTCGTTCAAAAGATGTTACCGTAATCGCTTTTCGAATGGTTTTCAGTTAAAAAAACTGTTGCATCACAAGTGAATTAGGATAGAATATTATTGTAATACAACAGTTTTTTAACTGAAAACCATTTGAAAAGCGATTACGGTAACATCTTTTGAACGAAAGAAAGCAAAAGTCATTGCTTTCGTCACTTTCCACTGTAATACGGACGTCCTTTCAGCAAAATATTACATTTCCATATTCTCAGAAATAAATAGTAGTTTTGCTGAAACGTAATGCATTTCAATGTAAATTAGGATAAACTACATGAAAACAAAAGACTTTACCTAACCTTCCGATGTTCAAGATATGTTACTCGTTTTTTTTAGTAGTTTTCGGTTAAAATTCTCTTCATACTGTGCTTGATATAATACATTCACGGAAATGTAATATTTTTGCAACTACAATGCTGATGTCAACACAAGCGTGGTTATATCGAGACTGACTGAGTGAGGGAGAGCTATGCGTGTGTGTGTGAGGTTGCGGGAGCGGGCGGTGTCCCGTGTTCGGTGCTGCGTGCGAGTTCAATGGCGCGCGATTTGAATGTACTTCAATTACTTCAATGTACAGAATATTCCTCCGGCGGGGCAATCCGTGTATGCTAAACCCGCGTATGTTAAGGGCCGACTGTATTCATTTTGGAAATGATTACGGTGAATGTCAAATGTTTTCAATACATATACAGTACCCTCCAGTTATTATGCGAGATAGGGGCTGAGAATATTTGCAATATAAAAATAAGCAGTCAATTCAATACTCTGTCCAGAAAAATTAACCAAACAATTCTTAAAAGGTTCGTGTTCTTAACACAATCTAGAAATGTACACCGTGGGAAAAAAAGAAAGGGTAGGGAAAAAAACTGAATGGGGTCCCCCAAATTCGTGGAGGGTAGGTTCTCAAAATGGCTACCAATCGCCAAATCCGTGAATAACATTTGTGGGGCAGATATTTTTTCTTGTGTACAAAGAAATGTATATTCCCTTTGTGGTTGCCCTTAGGACAATTATTTCTTTTACCTGTATTGTATATATATATGTGTGTGTGTGTGTGGGTGTAGACACACACATACAAAACACGTACAAATAAATAGTAATGTGAAAATACTCTCTCAAATAATTTCATTTGAAACAAATTTATTAGAAATGTGACAGTCTACCTTAAAGTCCATGCTTTATTAATAAAGTAGTAAAGCATGGACTTGAGAGTAGACTCACATTTTTAATAAATTTGTTTCTGACTATTTGTGAGAGGAATTTCCCATTATTATTTATTTGTATGTGTTTTGTGTGAATTTGTATGTGTACACACACACACATATTCACAATACAGGTAAAAGAAATTACTGTCTCAAGAACAAATGGCTCCCTGTCCCCCAGTCGTGAAAATGTCGGCAACTTTAAAGCTACTCACAGACATTCTTGGGTACATCCAGGGTGTCATCGGCGAATAGTAGAGGAACGTGAAATAAAAATCCACGAACTTGGGGGAGGGGGGGGCTGTACTGTACATTACATTACAGCCTGCTGCCTCTGACCAACCCAACATCTCATGGATTTGGTGCACAACGAACTCCATTCTTGATGCTCTAGTCTGTATACGTCAACATCTACAAAAAGGAAACAAGTATTTCAAATGCACTTGAATAAATAAAACATATAATTTGTGTTTATGGGTTTTTTGCACCCTTCTCTTACACTGCAGATGTGTCAGCTGGTGCAGCCTCCCCATTGAGAATCACCCTGTCTAGCTTGGCCCCGGGTTAAGGTGCCGATGGCAGTAACCTCCCCCCCCCACTCCCGCGGGGTTAAATCGAGAAAAAAAAAATCTTTTCCAAAAGTAATAAAAAAAAAAATGTCGGGAAAATTGGCAGCTGTTCTGGAACGTCACCCGGGGCGCACAAGTCGGACGTTCTGGTACATCACCCGGGTTAATGTAACTGTGAAGCCAACCTTGGCTTAATGTGATTTTGCCATCATTAGCTGGTTTGCCCACGTTTGAGCATCCAAGCTTGAATTTCCATTGCCTCCGTCAAACTCATCAGACCACTTAGTGTAGCTTTGTTGCATTTGTGCAATCCAAATCTTTAAAGTAGCTTCCATATTGTAATACTCTGTACTGTGGTGGCCGTAGATACTGGAAGGTCTTTGTTATGAATAGCTGTACATATGCTGTACAAATCTTGTCAGTCTCCAGTCTGATGAATAAATCAAGCTGTCATTTACCCTATTTCAACGTGCCACAACTGTCGCGCTCCATGGTCAAGTTCGTCCCAAATTACAACTTTCTCCTCTAAATTATGCATCTTTTTCTTCTTTTCCTCACTTGAACTGGAAAGAAGCAATTGCTGAATGTGTAGACATTTTGACGAGTGGTGGTGCATGTGGTAAACTCGAAGGGAATTGTGAGAGCAAGAGTTCTTAACTTTGAGTGAGCACTGGCTGAGTGAGGCTCTGAGCAACTGGAGAAGTGTGCAGTTAGTTGTGTTGGCACAGCAGTTGATTTAAAAAGCTTCCAGCCTGACTGTTTTTGTTAAATAAAAAAATTCTCACAACATATAGGGAAAATGTAGCAATTTAGGTAGCTACAAAATAGAAAACTGAACAGTGAACAAAAAATTTTACCATCTGTTATTACCATTGTTTTACTGCCATAAGCCATGGTTATGGGGTTAGATATGATTCCTTAATGTCATCTGTCCAAGCTGTATAGTCTCTCTCATGTGGCTGACTGGAGCTAATGTTCCTCACCTTAATTTTATAAAGCTAATGAAAATGAACTGCATATTTACAAAAGTACTATAATGTTATTAATGTGTATTTTGCAGCAATCTCTCATTTGGACAAGATGAAGACTTGGGGTAAGCAGATCCGAGTGACTTTGAGCAAGCATCAGACCGTACAGCTTCCCAAGGAAGGACAGCCAGATGCTGGTCTCACCAAGGACTACAGCAATTCTCCTCTCCACCGTTTCAAGAAGCCAGGCTCTAAGAACTACCAGGTGTGTTTTAGATTCCTTATTAGTGTTTGATTTGACAGTTATACTCCTCAGGCTGGGGATCTTTTTCAGTACAGTAACTCATTAAAGGAAAAATAAATGCATAATGTTGACTAGTTGTCTTTCATAATCTTTGTGTTTGGTTTACACAGTTGTGGAACAAGATTTAAACTAGCTTGAACAGGAAGATGTACTGTTTTTATGCACCATGGATACTAAACTTAAAAAATGATTTAAATGTGTAGTCAGTATTATTTAATTGTGTACATAACTTGTTTGAATATTAACCATTGATGTTTTGGTTGTGTTTCAGAACATTTACCCCCCTAGTGCTACTTTGCATCTGTCCAACATCCCACCCACTGTCGATGAGGAACAAATTAAGGAAGCCTTTACTCATGCAGGCGCTTCTGTTAAGGCATTCAAGTTCTTCCCGTAAGTAGCAAAAAAAAAATCATGTGGTTGGGAAGTGAACCATTGCCATTTTTCTTTTAACTAATGCAGTGATATTAGTAATTTATTGATAGTTGTTCTTTTGTTAAACCTGTACTGCCTCACATGCTCAAGTTGAATATGCCTCCTTTGTTCTATTTCTTTTTCATTGCTCCTAATTCTATGATCTATATCTATATGCCTTTTACCTCATATTACAGTTTTCTTTATAATCCTGGAAATTGCATGGTGGTACATTATTGTCTTTAGAAAAAATCTGAAATTTGGCACAAGGAAGTGGTCGACTTGTGTCGGCTAGTATTCCCCAGCCCCCATTTTTTGTAAAAATGCACTATTGCCACATTGGATGGGGGGGTTAAGTTTTTATCTTCATAAGCCATTCTGCTTTACATGTTGGTACCTGTAGTAGTATATGCTGCATACGTGTGGAAGAGAATCATTAAGTTAAGAAAGTCCTAAATGAATAATACTCATTAATTAAAAAAATAGGTTTCAGTGTCTTCTGTTGTGATAGTTATCATTATGATTATTGTATTATTATTATTTTTATTTATTTATTTATTATTATTATTATTTTTTTTTTACAATTTCAGTAAGGACAGGAAGATGGCCCTGATTCAGCTTGGTTCAGTAGAGGAAGCCATTGCTGCACTCATTGTAAGTATTGCATACACAAACCTCATAATTTGTAAGTTGAACTCTAAAATGTGCCAAGTACTTAGAGAGTAATATACTCCTAAAATAACTACCAGTAATACTACTAGATAAAAGGGTAAACTTACTGTTAGAGAATATTCTTCTAGAATCAGATAATGTATCTTTTGCAACAAATAATATTTTATAGCCTTTTGAGATGAAAGTAACTACGTTCAGTTGTTATCCTTCAGTGAAAATGAGATCTAGAATGGTCAGGTTTTACAATAATGGATTGTGTATGGGGAACCCTCATTCATGCCGAGAGTTCTGCTACTATGTTAAACTGTCATAAACAAAACAGGTTCACTAGTAAAAGAGGGATACATCCCAACTGCAACCAGTCCCCATTTTGACAATACCCCCTGTACAGTATTTCGTACTTAATTAAGTTTTGTGCATACATTAATAACAATTATGTAACTAAGTAGATACAGACATTATTGAATGAATATTATAGAGGAGTATACTCTCCATTATGACAGGTATTTTGTACTTTAACAAATGATGGCAGAACTTGGCACATCACTTTAATTTTTGGGGGGTGTTTTCTAAGACTGGGTTCCTTACTATTGTCATCATTGTTGAAAATATTGTAGACTGTTTAACAATACTTTGTATTCTTCTGATAGCACATGTGTTTGCCAGATCCTTAAACTGTTTCATCATTTTGCAAGACTTTGTCAATGCTGTATCTCCAACTTAGTTTTTTGTGTTAACATCTGTATAGACATCTTCTGGGCTTCTTTACTTGTAACAGAACTAGAAGGACACTTTGGGGGAGCTATCACATTTTTCAGTAGAGAAAAGATAAATTCAAGCAAGCAAGTAGAACAACAGGCTACAGGTGCTTTGTGACTCAATAAGATGCATTACACACAGAAAAAATGACAGTGCACATGCAAGCCTTAGCTTGGCATAAACAAAATTTGGTTAATTCAAAGTAAACCATATAAATGTTAATATTGCTCGTGTAAAGTCAGCATAAATGAGGAGGACTTGCATTGGTTGTAGTATATTATAGGTTTTTGGTATTGTTCATTACTGTACAGTAGACCCTTGCCATTTGCGGGTTTGCTATTCACGATTTCGACAATTCGCGGTAAGCAGATGGTGACTATGGTGGTGGCTAGCTTGCGAGCCTTTTCCCACAGCACAAGAAGTCACCCCATGCAGCATCTCATGTTGTACTCTCAAAACCTTAGTGTTTGTGTGAAATGGCCCCTAACAGACTGCCTAGTGCAAGTGATGCTAGTGGAGTGAAATGTAAGAGGCAGAAGTCAGTGATGACCCTGACAAAGAAAGTTGAATTATTAGATAAGTTAAAAGAGGGGGTGAATGCTGCCGTTGCTGATCAGTTGTTTGGTATAGGTATGCAGTAGCGCACTAAGGTACTATAAGTTGTTTTTTGCGGTTTTGCCTATTCACGCCATTCCTTGGAACCTAACCCCTGCCAATAACAAGGGTTTACTGTTCTTTGAATTAATCTCGAGTCCAGGGTTAGAATATTATTTTGTTCCTGCTCTTATAACTTCTGGAGTGGTGTAGATTTTAATCCAGTATTTGTATACAGTAAAACCTCAATACACCAGACTAATTAGGGCAGACCCCAGTCTGGAAAATGCAAAACTTAAAAAAAAGGTGAATCTAAGGGGGGTGGGATAACACGGCTTATCTAGACTGCTTCAAGATCAGTTGCTATAATGTTATTACTGCACTTAAACAACTTAAGTCTTTAAGTGCATGACAAGGTTAGTAAAACTATAACTTCTACTAAAACAAAAAAAAAGAGAGAGAACTCTCTGGGTTGAAAATCAGACTTCAAGTCTGGTTGTCACAACTGTTTTCACTGATATGATTGTAAAGTACAGCTCCTCCCCGACGTGACGGGGTTAGGAACCCAAATCCAGGTCATAAGTCGAAATGGTCGTAAGTCGAAAATGCGAAAACAATACATAGAAAATCTAAAATGGGTGTCTCTTTTTCTTCTCGGCACCACAAAACTCTCACTGTTAAGCTTGCCAGCCATTTTAAAGTGAATTACAAACGACAATTCTGTCAGTACAGTACACAGCGCAATCACTGACGTTGGGACTCGAAAATACATAATTTGACAAAATTTTGGTACGACTGAGGCGGTCATATGTCGGGGAGGAGCTGTACTGTAAAGTGTTGTATGTAAGTACCCGCAGAATTTGTTTTATGAATAAAGAGAAAACTGTATACTATACAGTACTATAAAGATTTCACCATATTTCTCATCTCATATAGATTCATTTAGTACTGGGTTAAAATATTTTCATAAAATAATCAACTTTCCCCAAAAAAGAATTCCACATTTATCACTGAGTTATTGTGGTTGTTTGTTAACCCATTTCTTAAAACCCTCAAGTATCCCTGTTAAAGATAATACATACTCTACATAAGTTCACATAAATGAGTGTAGGTAACGAGGACTCGGACAGAGACATCCACAGACAGACGTTCAATCTTACGTATGAACACAAACCATCCGACTTTTTAAAATTATTTATGTTGAATAGACGGGCAGTTCAGAGCACCCCAGAGAGTCCGAAAAAAGTGAAGTCTGGTGTATCGAGGTTTTACTGTAGTGTACAGTGATATCTCCGTTAGCCATAACAATTGGTGCAGAGCACTTCCAGGATTGAGAGATTTCCGGGTAACAAGATGACTCTCTCAAAGCTCGAAAAACCTCATTCCCGGAAGTTTCCGGGTCCAGGGAAAATTTCCTCAGAATTTCTGGAAAATGCGCCTGATTTTCATTTCTCAAACCTGGAAAAAATCCCCATCCCTGGAATTTTCCAGGTACTGGGAGAACTTTCTCGGATTTTTCCAGAAAATGTGCCCCTCGTAAAATTGTTCCCAAAGCCGGAATTTTCAGGAAAATTCTAGCTTTGGGAACGATTTTCAGAGAAAATTTCAGTTCCGGTTAAGGGGGATTCCGGCTAATGGAGATATTACTGAATATTATATTTTTAGGCAGCTTTAGCCAGATAGGCCTATCGATTATAGATATAAAGTGGGCAATATTTGTATTCCACATAATTTTCAGTATTTTTGTTTTACAGAAAATGCACAACTTCCAGCTGAGCGATTCCTCTCACCTACGTGTGAGTTTCAGCAAGAGCACCATATAAACAGCCCAACCATTACAGCAGGTTGAGGGGTACCTCCCTTGGGATCAAACATCTGCAGGAACTAAACATCCCAGGGCCAAGTGAACCCTGAGGCACAGTCCTAAGGAAATGGGATCCCAGGGTTAATTTATCCCACTTGCCGGCAGCCTGGATGGAACCGGCACTTTTTTACCTTAAGGGCATGGCATTTTTATTAATATAATTATACCTAGCTTAACCAAATGTGTTACACTGTAAGGAGGCAGGACCTAGAAATATTTACGTACAAGTGAGAGAGATGATAAATGAGCTAATTCAGGAAGAGATACAATTTAGCTAATGGAACTCAATTTGGAGTTTAATTTTATTTTGTGTACCCACACATGGTTTGGGTATTTGGGTGACCAATACCTGTGTACATTTTGCTACAAGTAAATTCTGCCGGACAGCCTGAATGTCTTTTGTATGTAAGGTGAAGGTTTACACAGTATTAGGGGTGGTCTTGCCCCAGTTGTGGGTGAGAGTAGACCTCTGGTACTAGTATTACTGCAGTGGTTCCTCGTGCTCTCTGAGATTGCCAAGGACTTAGTGTTAAACCTCAGCTAGCATGAGCCAGAATTGATTCTTTTTAAAACATGGTAGCTCTTTTTATTTTAAGTGTTTTGCAAGTGATACATGTTAGAGCTAGATTGTGTAAGAATAATTGAAATTTGGGGAGAAGAGATGAGGCTAAATTATTATTAATGAAAAGTAGCCATTAAAATTCTCACACAATTCATATTTTCGGACAAAATGGAGGACCTATTATAGAAGTGTTAATATGGTAATTTATCTCACAATGTCAGTGTTATGAAAGTATATATTTTTGCATTTTTGACGTCTCCAAAGTGTAAACTGATATCAATCCTTTTCTTGATCAACTCTTCCGTCTGGGATTTTTCTCTTGATCATTCCAACTTTGAAAAAGTCTTCTTTACCATTTGCTCGATGATTCCAATGTTTGTAGGGTAGGCAGACAGGGGCTGTGGTTGTTGTGCCCAGTTTTAATACAAGCAGTGACTGGAACAGCTGATGCCAATTATTATTGTCCTCCTGTACCTTGAGCGGCGTGTGGGATTGGCAGATTGTGGTTGTAACAAGCAGTAGTTGGTCATTTGGTCCCTTCTGAGGGTAACCAGAGGAGACTGCAGCTGTAGCTGTGAGTATAGGTGATTTGGTGTAGGATACTTATGACGTTACCTGTGAAGTTCATGTACAAGCTGCCCATAAGTATTCCTAATGTATATCTAAACTGAAGAGTAGGTTTACCTTGTGCTAACCTCTTGAAGACTGAGAGTTGACTCAAGGTTTGCCTAAGGTAGCACGTTAGCTAGGGGCAGTGAGCGGACTGTACCTGAGCGGGCTTCTCCCCCACCCCTCTCTGCCACCTGGCCAGTCTGTGGGTGGGCTCTCCCCCCCCCATGTCGTGGCATTCATTAATTGTTGTTCAGTGTATGTAGCCAATAGGAAATTTGATTAGCTTTTATTAATGATGATATACAAAGTATTATTTGTTATTTATCTAAAAATTACCTAAAAAAAAAATGCAAGAAGCACAAAGGTTGAGCCATGCACCCAGGAAGTTGGCAGTATCTCATAGCTGGTTGCTGGAGGGCAAGGCAGTGCACTGTAGCATTCCCATCATCATCACTTGCTTCCCGTCACCCCCATGCCAGGAGGGGGGAGGGGGTTCCCCCTTTTTCTCCCTTTAAATCCCTAAACTAAAACTTTTGCATGCATAAGAATGTCAAGGTTCCCTCTCTTCCCATGCTCTCTCTCCTAGAAATGTCACATAACAGTATTTCTACAGGGCTTTAAATTAGAAGCAAGTGCCCCTGCCCCCCTGACAACCCAACACTAGTGTCCCATCTGTCTGAAACTTGCGACAAGACAATCCCAGAAAAAACTTCTTAGGCATCTAGTGTGGTACACAAGGTCTATATAATTACTCAAGACCTAGAAGTGAGTTATTGACTCGTAATTCTGGGCACATGTATGCCAAGTAGTGTAGTTTGAAGTATTTTTTGTAAAGCTGATTAGGAGCTTGGATGAGGGTGTGCTCTACTAAGATCGAAGGGTATCACCAGATCAACTGCTAAATTGGACCACACTGGGAAGGCTAGTAAACACTAATTTGCACATATCAGTTTCAGAGACTATTTTTGTACAACTGTGGTGCCTTTCTATGTGATATTCACAGTGTGGCACACGTCGGTCATTGGTCAGCTCGGACATACTTTGTGGATGTGGTAGCGAGCATAAGGAAAACTTTACTGATGTGGTAGCGTGAGGAAATGTTGTACCCTGTACTCTCTGCCTAGACCTGCTGCGTCCTTGTATTCATCAATTCGACCTACTCCAACTTCCTTGGGTGCAGTCAAGCAACTATTTTTACATCTACGTGTGTAGAACTTGTATTTCCTGTTTAAATCACGTGTATGTCATGATGATGAAAGTAAAAGAACGTCATCTACTTTCTCCATTTTAGAAGATTCAATCTAGCTGATGGTCTCTTTCTCAAGTTAAACTCAAGGGTCTCACTTTATCATGCTAATTCAATTTCCCTTTGAGGTGGCATCTTGCCTATGTCAGCCCTTTTCTGGAGACCTTCGCAAAGGCCACAGCCCAGTTGATCCATTAGACTAATGAGGGTTATCCCGCCTGCACACACACACACTTCCCAAAATGGCCGCTGACACAACATCTGCTGAGCTGTTTCAATGTTGACTGAAACACTTGAGAAAAAGGCCTAGAAGTTTTGTGCCTCATACTTGTATTTGGAGGGAACAAAGTACCTTTACATTACTCTTCTGATATTGTAATATTTCTTAGAAGTGTGTAATTTTCTCTTTTCCCACTGCTTCGATGTAACCGACTTGTATACTTTACTACTCTTGCAATTGTATCTATGATTATCATTCAGATGTGCTCCCCAGGTTTAGCCCAAGAACTGCTTTTAGAATTCACTTTTAATGACAGGTTGCACAAACTATGAAATGTGTTTGATTATATATGACTTGTTTCAAAGAATTTAGGAAACTCTAATTGTAATTTATATAAATCTGACACTAGCAGTAGGGCTTGAACCTGGTGCCACTCCCGCATGACATCTACTGAAACAACAGATGTGATCCCATATCTGGGAAGCGGACTTCTTAAAACTCTGGAGGGATCACCATCGCCAGAAAGACAGCTGAGTTGTGCCTTGACCAGCTTTGCATCAACTTTTTACTCGTCAGTGCTCGCTCGCTCGCTCACCAGACCCACCTCTCCTTCACCTCCTGGCTGTCAGGGCTTAAACTCACAACAGTGCACCCTTAGAGATTACAAGAGTGCGACGTAGCACTACAAAAACACCTATATGAAACAAATTAGACGTAGCCCAGTACAGATCAGGCCTCGTAAAGGGAGGGGTAGGCACAGCTAAGGGTAGGGTGCTAGACCAACTCTCCTATTGCACCTTCTTTAGTAAGGCCCACAATAACTTCATGTATTAATCTGTATTCTTGAAATCCAAATGGTTTTAAATTAATTGTTTTTATTGTGAATGTGGAAATGATGAGTGTTCATGCATATTTTCTGCATCTTATTCCAGGATGATATGAAACTGTCTATTTTGTGTTGACATTGCTAGTTCCATTACGGACTGTCATGGTATTAGGCCGACAGACACCATATTTGTCTATGTGGATGGATCTGAGCAACATGAGCCAGGTACTGTGTTTAAGCATTATCATTTTGTAATAAATATGTATTTCGATAGATTTGCATATCACTATGTCCTACAAGTAGGGAGGGCAAGAAGAAGCCGCCCTCCAACTGAAGTCTGTGCGATGGTGTTCTTAGGAGTCCCAAGCAAGCTGCTTGGTGGCTGCACCTCCAGCAGCGTGCATCAATCTTTATGATTGACCCATTGTTTGTGTTTAGGTTAGAGGCTGTTTTGTAAGGTCAGGATTATAAACACTAACGCCTGCTACTCTGCTGCTACTGCTGCTGTTTTCTCTCTTGTCTCTCACTCTCTCTCTAGCCCTCGAGTTACTGCTGTAAATCTCTCCCTCTGTTCACCACATTTAAACATAGGCAGTTACTTATTTTGGAGGAGATCTTGATATATCCCAAAGAAAACCTCTTATTACTACTACTATTGCTCTATTAATGTGTTTAGAGCTACTGGTACCTCATCTTTTCAGCCCCTGGATATCCTGCTCTGTCTCTTCTCTCTCTCTTCTCTCAACATTAATGCTAGGTCAGTTTGGGTCATGCTAGGCCACTAACCCTGTTCTGTATCCTTTCAGTATATTTCTTGTGTAATATATAATTTTTTGTTTTGTTCTCAAGTTGTCATGTTTTACTGTCCTGGAAATGTTCCTTTGTTCAGGAGTGAGTTTGATTGATGCACCCACTATCATGACATCTTGAGAAATGTTTTGAGGAGTTAGCTTCAGGTATTTGCCTGATTTTTTTTACTTAAGGACCATATTTTTTTTTTCTATTATTGTTTTTTGTTTTTCATCTTATTTTGAACTTTATTTTATATACAGTATATATACTTTTTTGGCAACACCTCAGGCCAGTGTTGGCTGATATTTTGTAGTCAGTATGCCAAGGGTTGCCAAGTTAGTTCCCTAGTGTCACCTGGCCATGTCTCTAGAACACTAGCCACTATCCTGCCTCCTGTACCAGCCGTATCTACTACCACTTGATCCTGCATACATTTCTCTTATATGTGTTTGTAAATGTACCACTCTCGTGTACTACTACTTGGTGTGTTAGTCATATCACTGTTCCATTCTATTACTACTACTACTACTACTCAGCTGTATTTGTATTTCATTGTAGAGGTGCTTGGTTGACCACATAAAGCCTACATATCTACTCTAATTCTTGTTCTTTTTTCCACCCTTCCTTCAGACACCAACTTCTGCAGTGCCAATCTGCTCTCCTAATGATAACTACGAGTCTCCCTACACCAAAGCCTCACAATATTAGTGATAGAACTGTGGTATCTCAGATATTGTGAGGACACCACTGACACTTATTTTTATCATTACTATCACCTTTGCTGCTTATTTTGAGCTATCTATATTGGAGTTTTCTTACATGCACTATACTCCAAAAACTGCTGAGATCACATAACTTCAGTTTTCTCATGCAGTTTCTTGAGATTAATTTCTTGCAAGGTGATTGGCTGCCACTTATCTTGAATGAAACTTAGTATACCTTGCTATCACTCCTTAAACTATGGTTCTTTATCTTCAGTAAAAAATCTAAGGAAAGAAAAGTATGACATGTCTTTCCATTCTACATTGACAGTTTTTATGTATGAATTATGGGATTCCAAGTGAGTTAGGAAGTGTTTGAATGCCTGTTTCCTGAAGTAACCCTCTAAAATAGTGTAACAGTGGGTCACTCACTGACTTGTGTAATGTGTAATATCTCATAATTAATGGTTAATTGATCATTTCTAAGAAGAGTCTTCAGACTAATGGTAAGAGAAAAGAATTATGTTTAATGAAACAAGAAGGTACTCAAACAAATAATATGAAAAATATTGATATTTACTGATATGAGATGAAGTTCTTAAACAAATAGTGTGAGAAAAAAGTGGATATTGCATATACTCAACCCAGATAAGAGTGAATGTCAGTATGATCTTGTCACTTATTGTTTTTACTTCAGACATGCATACTTATGAATATACAAAATTAAATTATGTAGAGATTCATTTAAAATGTGACGTATGTCGGCATTAATGAATCGGATCCTACATACAGAAGTACCTCGGTTATCATGAGATGTTTTCCTGAAACTCATTGCAATTAATGAAACTGAATGTTGGGTCAATTTTCCCTATAAGAATTAATGTAAATAGGAGGGGATGCATTCCCAGCCAGCAACTTTCATATACAGGGTGTCTATAATTTATACTCCTGATTATGAAGCTCAATAAAAATTTTACTGTAAAAGATATCATAAAACGGCTTGTTGCAATTAATAAAGCAACTCGGGTAATCTTTTGGCACGTGTAACTGCACTTCAGTAAACCTCCACATGGGCCCCCTTGGTAGCACGTAGAATATCAAGACACCAGTTGATTTAATTCCAGTCATTGAAGCATGTCTAGCATGATGGAAGCCAGTGCCTCTTCAATCTGGTGTTTTAACTCTGTGATGTTATTAACCTTTATCGCATACACCTTGTTCTTGACATAGCCACATAAAAAGAAATCCATAGGCGTGATGTCCAGGGAACGAGGAGGCCACGGAATGGGAAGTTTTCATGAGGAAATCGCACATTTGTAAACCCCCAGTGTGGCGGTGCCCCATCTTGTTGAAAGAAGAACACATAGGGCTGCATGTCTTCCAGCTGAGGTACAGCATAAAATTCAAGCATATCTATGAAATTTGGAACTGTAATGCAGTGTTCAAGAAATGAATGGGGATTTTCTGATCCCCATAAGTAGCAATTGTGTGTGTTAACAGACAGGTGGAAGGTTGATTCATCGCTGAAAACATTAGTCAAAAAATGCTGGACTGTCACAATTCACCCTGAAAGCAGTCCTGCCACATTAATGTCAAAAGATTACCCGAGTTGCTTTATTAATTGCAACAAACCGTTTTATGATATCTTTTACAGCAAAATTTTTATTGAGCTTCATAATCAGGTGTATAAATTATAGACACCCTTTATTTTTCAGTTTATGCTCCTCATTATGCAAGACTATTAAGGACCAGGGTCGCATGTACAGCTCCTCCCCGACTTACGACGGGGTTAGGGACCCAAATCCAGGTCATAAGTCGATAATGCTTAAATAATACATAGAAAATCTAAAATGGGTGTCTCTCTTTCTTCTCAGTGCTACAAAACTCACTTTTAAGCTTGCCAGCCATTTTAAAGTGAATTACAAACGAAAATTTTGTCAGTACACAGTGCAATCACAGATGTTGGGACTAGAAAATACGTAATTTGACAACATTTTGGTACGACTGAGGCGGTCGTATGTCCGGGTGATCGTAAATCGAGTTGGTCGTAAGTCTGGGAGGAGCTGTATACTGTAGTACCAGTATACATGAGGAATATATAAAAATTATACTAATTAAATTAAAGGAAAAGTACCGCTTTGCCAGTTGGCAATAGTTTCACCCTGCTCTTTTTTTATGCAGCAGTTTTGAAGTAGAGCTACAAGTGTGGGGTGCCTGTCTCCCGCATGTGAATTTTCACATGCACGCTCTGACCCATTGAAGTTTATTAATTTCTAAAGCACGCTGGTCCATTCAAGTTGGAATATGAAGGCTGTGGCTAGCCTGCCTGGTTTGAAATATTACTGTAGGGTATCGTAATTTTTTTATTTTTGAATAAATGCGATATGCTTTGCGAATATTGATTAAGGGTACTAAAATATAAATTGCAGTTAAGCAGGGTTGTGAATAGCGAGGTATTCCTCCAAGCGTTAAAGGTGAAAGCTTGAAAAGAAATTATGTACCATGTGTTCTTTGGGAATTGATAAGTTTTTTGGAAATATTTTGCATTTCTCCAAAGAAGACCTTGAAAAGCCATGTTTGTTTGTACATTATACCCTCGTTAATTCGAAGAAAAATTGGTTCTGGGTCACAGGCCTCTGGAAGAGTTGGCGATCGCACCCTCCTCCCCCTTAGAGCTAATAAATTGTTCAAAATATACCATTTTTACCAAAAAAAGAAACACTAATAATGATTATAAAGTACAGTATATAAAAATAAAAGCATCACTAACCACAAAAATGTAATTGAAAAATATTAATTATCTCATATTTCAACAATAGTTCAGTATGTTTAGTTCAGTCTCAACTCCAAACCCCTCAGCAAATTTATGGATACGACATTGGTCTGGGTAATTTGAATTACTGAAAAATGCGAATTAACCGAGTTTGGAATATTTTTACATATCTTTAGACAATTTCCAAATTTTTGTATTAGTTTGTCTTCTGTTCAGTTTTTGGGCCTTATTCAGATCGTTCCCCAAAATTTTCATTATTCCAAGCGACAAATATTCTATTTATAATTATTACTGTGCAATCCTGAGTATGTTCATAAGTTAGATTTGTACTCACTCTATCATAGCCCAAGTCCTTATATATATATATATCTAAAATCACTTAATTTAAGACGAGAGAAGAAATAGAATGACAAAATACAGTAATTGAAAGTAAAAAAATAAGTCATTAGGTACTGTAAATAAAATGCTGTAAATTTCAAGTTGAACCCCGTTCGTATTGGCGGTTGTTCGTATCCAAATTAACAAGAATGCAGTGAACACTTGGGTTGATACTGTTGACTTGTAAGCAAATTCTGCACATTTTCTTAAATGTACAAGTATAAAGATATATTGCCATTCTCCAACCCCACCCCTCAAAAAAGAAGTAATATATGCTAAATAAAGACATGTTGAAAAGTAGAGCACCTTAAACTATAATTACATCAAACTGAAGAAGCAAAACCTTGGATAATGTAAGTACTATACTGGGTATACAAGGTAAGTACATATTGGAAAAATTTTTTTCAATGGGTTACTCACATTTAGTAGTTTCATGATGTACATCGGGTATGGGCAACCTTTCCTCAGTCATGGGGCGCATTACAACTTAGGTATTTTTCTACAGGCCAACCCAGTGAAATTTATATCCTACCTAACCCAAAACAGGGGTGGATCCAGGAATATCAAAAGGGGGGATCCCAAAAGTTATGGGTGGGGGAACATGACAAGCCCAGTGAGCTGACCCAACT